GAAGAGAAGGCTCTGGGAGGATCTTACCAACGTGTATAGATACCTGACGGGAGGGATTTTAGAAGGAGATGGAGCCAGACTTTTCTCAGTGGTGTCCAGTGACAGGACACAAATTGAAACACAGAAAATTCCACTTAAACTTAAGGGATAACTCACTTTGCTGTGAAGGTGATGGCACACCAGAGCAGGTTGCCCCAAGAGGCTGCAGAGTTCCTATCCTTGGAGATACTAAAAAAACAACTGGACACAGTCCTGGGCAATCTGCTCTAGTGGACCCTACTTTCAGAAGGGGGGGCTGAACTGGACCAGCTGCAGAGATGTCTTCCAACCTCAACTCCTCTGTCACTCTGTCAACTGTGTAGTGGTGAAAGCCACTTTCCTTGGGCTGTGCACAAGGCTGGTCCCTCACCTGCACAAACAGGCTATTGACAGAGGAGTCCTCTTACCTAAGAGGCAGCAGATAGTAAGAACAACGTAAAAATGTGAATCTGAGCTGTTAGAGGCCAATTTGGCACGTGCAAAGCCGTAACTGGTGCTGTGTCCTAGTGTACGTTGCTATTGAGAAGGTCATGGCCAGCCCATCCTCCTGTGTGCAGACCCCACAGAACTAGTCAGGGTTTATCCCGTGATGCCCTAAGAAGAACACCAGCCATACTATCAAAGATCGGATCGGAGGTCTGGCTCTCTGCTGCCTGTCCTGTACCTGACAGCAGCCAGCAGCAGATGTTTAGGTAAAGAACACAAGAAATAAAGCACGCAGTGTGACTTCCCTAGCACACTCTCCTGGTTCCTATCAACCTGCAACTCAGGAACGTCTTGTGCAAGACTTTGTAGCCGTATCAGTTTTCAGTAGTTCTTGATGAACTGTTCTTCCACGATTTTTTTTTAAAGCACTTTACATTCTGTGGCAATGACCTATATAGCTTAATTGCACACAACATATAAAAAGTATTTTTATTTTAAATATTGCTTGATAACCTCACTGGACACACTGTGTGTCTTGTACTGTGAGAAATATGAGTAAATGCACCCTCTTCACTACTCATCATTTGTAAGATCTATGTGCAATGTCTTTTCCAAACTGGAGAGTTTGTAGTAATCCTCCCATAGGCAGCTGCCTTTAATTAGTCAAATTTGATCAAGATTGACTTGTCAGGGGTATTCCAAGGACCTTTCTGTCAATATAGCAACGCTGCGTGTACACAAAAGCCACTTGCACACAATGGGCAGAGAAACACAAGCATGGAAGATCTGAAACGCAAGCATGAAAGATTTGTGTCATGGATTACTTCTGGAATACTTCCAGGCACCCTGAATCACCACTGGAAAAAATCACTCGCATCAAAGAAGGATGGGCCAGGAAGATGTACAGCACAACAATTTGGTGGAACTCTATGCTGATTTTGATACAGAAAAAAAAGGTATGTTATCAGGACAAGGAATGTAAAGACAAATGTCATCAGCATCCTTTTCTGTTACAGAGACCCAGCTTACCAGCTGCTGCTGCGTACCATTAAATTGTACATGTGCTACCTCAATTCCCACAAGAAGCTGGGCAATTATAAAATAACATTTGAGTGTAAATTTGGGCTTCTGAGAGCAAGAGAGTCCTCAGCATGCCGGAAACTGTACCTGTGTAAAATTCCTCTCATTCTGAGGCTGCCCACACCAGGGAGCAAGGATTTAGCAAATTTTGTATGGCAGAATCTTGAGAGACATGAGCAGCTTTTTAAACATTTCCAGGGTGCCTGGGTTTCAGTTTTTGAACAAACAGGCAGATGTGTCTAATCGGCCTTCCCAAAGCTCATCTCCTCCCACCCCTGCTGTTGGAAAGCAAAACCTCATTCCTGATTGCCTTTTTCCACATTTTACTTATCTAAAAGCACCAGATGAAATCAAGCACATTAAATAGCCAGGACTTTATCATGCAAAACACAAAGCTCTGCAAAAACTTCACACTGGGGAGAGTATAATTAGGACAACTGAAATTGGAAAAAGGATCTAAAATGCTTATTTAAAAAAAAAAAAAAGAGGTATTAAAAAGGATAGTTTGGCAGAAGGGAGACGGTTTACAGCTACTAGTAACAACTGAAGTGTTAGAGAGCACAGGGAATCTCTCAGTCTTTCAGAGCAGTTACTGTTTAATGCCACAGACAGGTGACCTGAGCTGGTGACAGCACAGCCAAGGCAAGTGCTGGAGCACCAAGCCAGAAGCCGGCACACGGACTAAGAGAAGGCTCCTCTGTGCCCTCATGGAAGAAGAGCTGTGCTGTTAAACCCAGCAACTGAATCTGGGGTGTTACTATTCTCTGATTTGGTTTCCAAGAATTAAAAGTTTTTTGCAGTCTGCAGCACTCCAGACTAATAGGATTGGAATGGGCAGGAGCACTAACTACAGCCCACAGCTCAGCACCAAGCCTGGAGGATCACGGTCTTCCTCAGCAGGACAGACGAGGAGAAGAGGTTCCTGCCTTCCAGCTGCCTGTCTGTCCTGACAAAGACGTAGAAGTTTTGCAGCCCAACTCGGGAAGTTGCAGCTGCCACAAAGGGAGGCGGGGG